ACACAACCATTTTTTAAACATCGAGCTATTTCATTTGTATATTCCAACTTTGATGATAACGCTGATATGCGGTAATAAAGGACATTCCATCTTTCTTCTCAACTGCTACTTCGAACCAAGGATCGGGAAGCAAAGACCATTAACAGTAATAGCAGCAGGCAAGAATCGATATCTCCTTCTATAGTAGTTTAAAAGATAAACATTTAAGGGTCAAAAACTTGTTGCGTAAGACTTTTTTTGAAAATTTAATCGAGGAAACATTAAAATAAGATCCAGAAATGGGTCGGTTTAGTATCGCAGGAGCACTGACGAGTATAACTCCAAATGTAACATCATCCAATAATCCGACAATTTATGGAGGACCCACTGATGTAGCCTTTTCTTAGACGCATTATCTGCATGTGGCACTCCACGATAATATGGTTAACGCCAAGATATTCCGCTAAATCTGCACAGGACCTTCTGGGAACGGTCTCCACCAGTTCTTCCACGTGACTGTGATAGCAGCTAATGGCCGTCCGCTAGGTGGGGCATCTCCAAAGGACCACATCTCAGGATCACATCACAACAGCCGCGAGCATTACACCTCTGGACTTGAATTCTGCACAACCTTCTTTCACTGTTCTTTCTTTCACTGCAACGTCGCCAAAAGCTACTTGCAAACTCCGGGCTGCTTCTGACAACAGATGCCCATTTGAAGCCATTAAGTGCCATATCGAAAATAGCGCCTTTACAAATTTATAAGTGAGGGCTGATACACGTACAAAAAACTACAAACCTCTTCGACATATCAAAAAGGAGAAACATGAAATTATGACGAACAGAACGTTATATAACATCTCCAACCAATTCATTACAATAAAAATTACAGCTAGAGACAAAAAATCGCGGAAACTTTCCCGATGACCCAATACAAATCATAAAAAATATCTAAACAAAATATCTAACTTAACCACAGAAACATTTTTCCATTTTCACTTTACAATTCAGTCACTGGAAAAACAAAATGAGTAAGGAGGCAATACAATCAGTAGGCAATTGCCAAGTACACTGATACCTTTTCTATCTAACCATTGGCGAAAAAAATAAAACTATTTTTTCTCATCATTAAACCAGTATGAATGTTTAAGAAAATAATCAGCTTACCATTTCCCCAGTGGTTAAGGTCAGCAAAATTGTCAGATCAGATCCTCTTGCTTTAAATCAACTTTAAATCGAGGCTAAATATTAAAACCCAAATTTATTATCAAAAATAAAGATAACGCAAGCAAGACTCCTCAGTTTTCCAATTTGAACCTCGAAATAGCTTTACCAATTTGACAATTAGAAAATTCAGCGATAAATTTCGATGCTAAAAAACACATTAAAACAAACCTTTGGATTCACTTGTGATTAAAGGCTTGTAAAACTATCGAAAATCAACCACCAGGCGAAACGACCGATTATGAAATTCAACCACCGGTAGAATTTGGTCGTATATTCCCTGAAATTGAGAAAAGCATTATATAAACGTATATATTCAAGAGAAGAACACTGACAGTGTCATGAAAGTAGGTACTCAAAATAAGGAAATTACGCCTGTACCATTTATGGGGATAATGGAACAGTGGCAAGGAGGTCAGCCTTCAAACTTCAGAAGTGCCGGGTTCGATCGTGCCCAGAAAAACACAACAGTTGCTTAACCGCCAATTCCCTTCAGCAAGAAATTTATGGAGCGTTGCTGCAGTGCAACAAGACAGAAAAATGATAGAAACGTTTGTAACCGTTGGAATAACGGCCTTCAGCACTTTTTCATTACAGAGCAATTCTGGCACCATTCTTTCGGTTCTGAGTTTGGTGCCCTACAGACCGGGATCAATTACATTCTGAAGCAACGTGTGGCACCATTTCCATGCTCAAGAGAATTCGTGATTAAGAGAAAGCTTTACCTCGAGAGGAATCGAACGCGGCACCTTTGGATTTCAAAACAAACCTCTTAAGCACCGTGTCTCCACGGCACAATTAGTCGAGAAACAAGTATCAGATCATGGCTATCGAACGACATCGACAGAATCGGTTTCCGATGTTTTAGTAGCAGAATGTGGGTACCCGAGCCGTTCATAGGGCCTGTATTTCAGCTTAACCCATCTGATGGATGATGCATATTCAATGCGATAACCAGTGAAGAGGATGATTACAATTGCTATTGGGAAACACCGGTGTGATACTACAATTAAAAGGGAATGTGACAGAAAACAGACACCTGCGGGCAACGTTACGCGATCAAATAATAAGTGTCTTCGTCATCTAAGTTGCGCTATGGATATTTAGATTTTCTAAAGTTATCATCACAAAGTTACCATCAAACATTGTCCCAAATCATTGATCTTCTGGACCATGCATCGTTATTCTCGATTCAGAGGGTAAAAGGAATTATACGAGGAAAAAATTACATAGTGCTTTCTTCAAGGATTGAAAATTAATATGAACGGTTTCAATAATTCTTCTTCCCTATAGCTGGGATAACAATAATATATAAAAAGAACTATTCGCAAAAACTACATGACGTAACTGTGGCGCATATCCTATTTACCTTTTTTTCGGCACTTCTGAATGTGTTCATGTTCTACATCAGACCTTCAAATAGGTGGCACGCAATGACTGCTTCTAACTGCAAGTTCTCGTCAAAGAAATTTGACAATTAATCATCACAGTTTGCCTATAGTCGGTCTGTCACCTTGCATATCGCTAAATAGCGTGCAAGGTCAGTAATAGTCAACATATTGTCGAAAGGAACTTAGTCATTTTATCTTGCCTAACACCATGAATGACTTATAGTCGTTTGCTAATATTTGGCTTAAACAACAGCTTCACTTGTCTAATACTTAATGATACTCATGCTATTTTTTAACGTTGGTTTGTGCCGAAAGAGTTGGCCAAAGTTTAAATAATTTTTTCCTACCGCAAATACAGTAAAGCAATCTTTGTTGTATTCGCGAACTGCCTTGAGCAATGAATTTATCAAATATAACTTCAGGCCGGGGTTGCTTAGTCGGTATAGCGTCGCACTCTGAACAAACAGATAACAAGTTCAAGCCCCGGTCGTGGTTAATCGCCCCTGTTCCTTCAGAGGTTGAAAAATGAGCACAAACCTATGGGAAAAAACAGGAGACTACAGGCTAGAGATTCTATTGCCAATATGGCTATACATTCTGTCTTTAAAAATAAGCATTCATGACAGACGGTACATAAACCGATATCAACAGCGCATCATCAACTTTATCAAAAGGGGTGCCAAAATAGCCCAATCATTAATATGAAGGAAGACCGACGTTCCAACGGTGGCAATCTTTCCATTTCCTTTCTTTGCTGAGAAAGAACAAAACGAAAGCTTGTACAGAACAGACTAGTGAAAACTGAAAAGAAAGGTAAGTTCATTTTAGACAGTGTATTGAAATAAAGGCAAATTCTGTTACAGATGCTTTACTCTTAAATAAACCATAATTTTATTGTTTCTATGTCTACATTAAAGTTTCAGTAACAGAGAAAAACCACAGCAATACAAGAACATGCAAAGGGAAGCACAACCAGAATAGTAAGCTAATTTGATCAGCAGGTTAAACGTAATTACCAGTGTATATTTTTCTACACCACAAGGAATTCACAAATGTTAAACCTAGTGGTATTACAAGATAGCTTTAGACACTTCATTGTCGATGAAAAGCAATGATTTGCATAAAAAGTTAGGCAAAAAGTGCTTCCACTACTGTTTAGAATAAGTTTTGTTTGATCCTGTTAGACAAGTCACAGTCAGATCAGATATGAGTCCTTTCTAGCAACTATGAGTAAAAATAATTACAAAGCTATCATTACTGAGTAAAACAGACATATGCATGCACATTATCTGTAAAATGATGTCATAGACAAGTGTAATGGCAATGAGTAGTGTAGTGAAACGGTGGTGAATAGTCAAGGTTAGTGCATCGAGAAGAGACGATATTTTTCCGTCATAATTATCAACTGCTGTGAGCAGGAAATTACTCACAACTGCTTTAATGCACGCAGAAAAGACTGATTAGAATATTTTGACTTGCAAACAACCTGAAGAATAATCCTCTAGTGTAATCGCGTACGAGTAGACGAGTGATACGGTCATACAGTCTGAAGCGATCGCTGCAACATGCTGTACTTAGACTTGACTCTCTGATGATTGATTATTAGCATGAAAACCAGCAAAACCTGTAAGTAAATGATGAAAGATTTCTTTATTTTTGTTTTGAAATTGACATCAAAGGCTAACATGGCTTGAATAGCGCAGTGACACATAATTATCGTACCTGGCATTTAGAAAAGTACAGTTTTATTTTCATCCTCGCTTCTATTTTCGGGTTGCAGAGGCAGACACGACAGACACTGCCTCCAGCATGCACAGTCCTGTGTCATCGCCTGAACTTCAGCCGAGGGCAATCGGAAACTGGAGTAGTCTCCTTCAATCTGATTTCCACAAATCTAATTTTGGCCATCCCTTGGATATTCTGCCGGTCGGGTTGGCGGGTAGTATTAACAGCGTTTTCATTTCTGGAAGCATTCACAACATGTACCCAAGCTATCGCGCCTGTGACATCTCAATCTGATGAAGCAGCAGATGTACATCATGGCTCATTCGCATTTCTGCACTGGCGACAATATTGAAACAGGTAAGGTCATCGACTAATCTCAGAAAGCCGATTTTGACCGTTTATGCGTGGCAACGAGGTTTTTCAGTCATGGCAAATGAACTTGGAGACGAAGTTCGACTTAAACACCGAGATATAATTGTTCGAACCCAGCAATGTTTTATTCACAACAGATAGAAGTAGTTCAGGCAGAAAAGCTGTGTCGATTCCAATCCGACGGTTAGACTGATATTATCATGTTCCATCGCCACTAAACACGACCATAATTAACCTCAGCTTCTGCACCTGCTTCATTGTTTCTCCATTTATCAAAAGATAACAAGTTACCATTGGGATTTTTGCTTGAGACACGTTCATATGCATGCCGGCCACGTCGCACTATGTTGTGAACTATTCAAGAGATTGCTCGAGATTAGTTCCAGAAGATGCGAACAAAATGACGTCGCCTAAAAATGGCGAAGTTCTAGTCTCGATATCCCTTACGCTAATATACACGTTTATCCGGTGGAGCCTGACTTTTCCATCCATACACAGAACAAACATGAGAGAGGACCAAATCCAGAGCCTAAAAGATGGCTCATTCGAATGCCAACGCTGAAAGGTCTCGACTTGTACCTACTAACTCTGATGTAGCACATGAGACTACCATATAGCGACTGGATGGCCCGCAGCAGTTGATCGTCAGTCAAATATGTTCGAATGAATGTTCATAGACAATTTCACGAGATCTAGTCATCGGCTTTCCTTAGATCCACAAAGCGCATTTGAACCAGATGAGCCAATTTACCACGATTTTTCGTCCATTTGGCGTAGAGCGAATATCTGATCAGATGTGCTTCGGCTGGGCCAGGAGCCCAACAGTTTTCTTGTATTTTGGAAACATTTGTTTAGCGGTATCTATTTTTTAGCACCTTCTTATTCCTTATAATGACACAATTCCTGGATTATTGGAGCTCTTCCTGTGTTTTCTACTCTTGAACAGGGTACCCTAACCGCCATTCTTCACTCTCTTGATGCCTTCGCCGTAGCCAATACAGTTTGAAATACACCTGTAAGCCAGTAATTGTCTTGTTCGAATAATGCTTTGAGCAATTTAGAACAGAATTCATCAATTGCAGCAGCGTTTCCACGTTTTAAGATTTTGACACTCTGTGTGATTTTATCTACAGAAACATTAATATCCGTTGCATGCTGCTGTTCAGGCAAGTATTCATCAGGTTGCTTGTGGTTGAGCAGTTTCCTAGGCACTGTCTCACTCGCAGTGAAATGGCCTCATCCACTGCATGAATGTGTGCAGACTTACTCTTCGTAGTTCTTAGACTGCTGTTCTTTTCACCTAGCAGGCGGCGGATAATCTGACAAAATATATTGTTTGCTTTCTAGAAATTCGACTACAACGCCTCATAGAACTTCGCCTTAGAAGAAACAATTCTGCTTTAGCTTTCGCCACAACCTTTCTATCCTCCTTTCGCGCTTCGTCATGCAATATGGCAG